ACAACTGAATTTGTTAAACACAACTAATCTATACTGTTTTATAACAACGACAAAATTGGATTTACTCAAACGTATAATTTCTACTATAATTAGACTGCAGATTTCATATATTTAGGACAAAAATAAATAGGTGCAATTGGAAACACTAGAAAGATTATAACGAAATAGAAAACTCTTAATATGTTGTTTTTTATTACTACAAAAATTATCAAAAAGGGAAAGAATTTCCAACGTGGCCCCAGTTATCTGAAACAGATGAAGGACATATTTATTTTGCATAAAAATCCGCAGACTAGTTATGATATATGCTCAAGTAAAGAAATTTATTGCAAAATTGCCCCACGATTCAATAATTTTAACTGGTTTGATAGTACTAGTGCCAATAGCAATTTTCAATAAGTTGATCAATGTATATCAATTTAATTTTGCAAAATTCTAACGGTTACATTATTATGCACAAAATAATTATGAGTATAAATTTATGTTGGACTTAATAGTCTACTTAATGGTCAAGCTACCGGAGCTATGTAGTTTGTATGCAGGTTATGAGGGATGTTAGAGGAGCCGGTAAGCGATAGATCGTCAGAGCACATCGTTTAAATCTAGAATTATTTTTCACTTGCAAGAGCACTGGTCAAGTGCCCGGTCTTGCGGCGATTAGCATACACGAACATGCTACTTCGTGTACATTCAGGATAGCCGCAGCATAATGTTGCATGTGTCCTCCCGTATCCGAGACAAGCATCAGAAAATTGACGACAGGTGGTAGAAGACTTTAGTACCCAGGCGTGGTAGCATCTTACTTTCGTTGGTCGCGTGATTTCAATGCATACAAGACAATGGGAACGATGCAATTAAGTGAAGCATCATGATTATCGTGACTCCATAACGAGGACATAATAACTGGAACGTAGGATGTTCTCCAGTGGTATCTATGTTCCACTTAGGTTCTGAGTCTAGTGATACGTGCTACGGTATTACTGAAATGTTACAAACTGCTTGTTTTATGCGTTTGTGATTCAAATTTGAAACAATATAAAGATCGATACTTTTACCGTGGGTTTAATAAAAAAGAATGACACACACACACACACATACACGTATTTCAAATTGGTAGAAATATATATTATTTTCAAACACACTTTTGATTTTTCCTGTAAACGGAAGGAAGAGTAACGCTGGTATTGGTGATAAGTAGACAGCGGATCTTCATGCAGAATATGCAAAAATATATGCAAATATATATGCAAAATATATGCTAAATATATGCAAAATAATTATACAATGTTATGTATGTAACAATGTATAATGTTTCATTTACTGTTTCAATTTGCATTATAATATGTAACTATGACTTTTTTCCATATTATCAACGGTAAGTTGATGTATTTTCTCGATAAAGATTAATTTGTATGCCGAAAATGTCTTTTCAACATCACAGAACGTAATTAATGCATACGTGTATTTTCTCCAATATCTTGCATCAGTTTCGTCTGGTGCTTCGACACTAGATGCATAATGGTTTTGTTAAGTTTTAATGATTTATATCGAATTATTTCTGCATAAGAGTACCGGATACTCGTGGTTAAAGTATTCCTTAGGGGACCAAAATTTATCGATTTCGCATGGTGTATTCCCATAGATATCGATGAGAAAACGCTGAAATTGCAAGTTTCAAAGCGCGGATTTCATTGGTTCAAAAGTTATATGTATCCAAAGTTGACGAATTTTCAGCGTTTTTGACGGGTCAGCGTGCCGCCATGTTAACGTTTTTAAACGTCGCCCAATGAGTATTGCCGAGATATTGTTACTTACTCAGCCCAGGTGCCGCTAGATGGCAACACGCGTAACCAAGAACCACTAAATTTTTGCACAAACACTATCGTATTTGGAATTCCTAGTGCATTCCTAGGAATTCCTAAAGCATTCTTTCCATTATTTTAAAAGTTGCAGACGAAATTATGCAAAGACATACTTCGCGTGGTTTTCAATCAGCTAATTATTAACTCTTGTACACGCCCTCTGCAAGTCGAATTTTCGTACGATAAACCTGTTTTACTCGAAGACTTCGATAAATCAAAACCTGAAGATTTTACTTCTTTCTTTGAGATTCGAATTGTCGAGATTCGATTGTACATGCAAAAAATATGCAACGTGTAAAATGTATGCAATATGCAAAATGTGCAAATTAAAAATTATGTTTTTCAAATCCCCTACAACATTCTACTGAAACCTATTCCAACATTTATTCTCAACTTATTGAAACTGCTAAAGAAAGAACAATATTTCCGTTTGGTTTCTGTTTCTAATAATTACTATTACTAATATAATATTAGTTTCACGTACAGTTCCGCTGTTTAGTTATACGTAAAATTTGTTCGTTATTGTACATAATTGCAAGAAAATGTGCATATTAACACGAATTAATTATGTTACTAATTTACGTTTACGATAAGGAACCAACTAGTCGAATATATTTTTATTCGTAGAAACATAATTTGTTAATTCAACTATCGTCAGTGGTTAGTTAACTGTTTGCGAGAGACGCAGGTATCAGAGTTAATAGCCACTCAAGCGTTTGGAAATCGGGGCTTGTTCGAACGATAAAACAGAACCATTACACGCGAATCATGATGCAACGATGAAGCGCTGAAAGTCGTAACACCGACTGCAACGTTCCTGCGTACCGTATAATGAAGTTTGAACATGATTCATGAAGTATACGGGTTTTATTGTTCTGTCATGGCTCTTTGTATGCGCGTCGTTCGACGATACAAATTATTGCTGCTCCGTTACGAACGGAAGTTCGATGTAGACATTTAAAACTTGACGTATTGTGCGGCTTCGACGAACGTGTAATATCATAGTTTATAACTTGATCCCCGTGTAATTACACCGCGCGACCATAACGCGACACGTTTAGCTAGTTCTTCGGTAATTTAATTCTTAACTACTGAAAGCTACCGGTTGTCAGTTACTCGCAGTTTATTTATTGTTTATCTACAATTTTGTTTCGGGAACGGCTTTGCCAACAACCTTCTAATGCCTTGGATTTTTATACTTATTTGTAAATTTTTAATGCGATTTTTACTAATGCCTTCGTGGTTTTCTAATAGTCGAAAATTTGGGGACTTACGAACTACGGTCAATTCTTCCTAATTGACGCTCAGGTTATACACAAAAATGGACAATTTGGGAAGAGAAGCCTTGCGGCTCATTTTTATAAAAATGAGCTCTTCCCAAATTGTCCATTTTTGTGCACAATCTGAGCGTTAATTAGGAACAATTTATTGTACAGTACAGAAAAAAAGAAGAAATTCAATCTTTTCAAATTTTCAAAGTACCCTGACCCCTTAATAAACAGTGGTGCGTTCTGTTATGTACCTGTGGGCAAGAAGCGACTCCGTATATGTATAGATTTTCGGCTCCCCTATTTACCAGCATGGAGGTCTCTCGGGTATCGGTTTACATCGTCGCAACCGTGGTTACACGCGACGATGAAAAATTGTCACAGTCGGTTAAAGCTACTGGAAGGGATAAGACATTGTAGAGCAGCGTGGGGCAAGGGAGGAGAGGGGGGGGGTAGGAAAGATAAAAGGAAAAAGTCCGGTAAAGTAGCAAAGGGAAGCCGACACGGTGCGCCGCGGCGATATCTGCCAAGAAACTGGTGGCCGTGATGTAGCGCTCCGCAGGGACTTGAGTTATGTTTCTCGAATTACCGTGGATATATGTCCTGCGTACTGTGAGTGAAGCACGCGAATTATGCCGTTGTCGGGACTCCTCTGAGTGCTTGCGCCAGGCGATTCCTCGTCAGATGTGTATCGTGATTAAAGGGCTATTCCGTTAGATGTACATAGCGGTCTCGAAAAATCCTTTCTTCTCATTCATTGAACCCTCGCTCTCCTTACATTTACG